ACATAAATCTGAACAGTTTACTAATATATTTTTTAAAAGTAAGTCTGGTTTTTAGAAGTTTTTCATACTTTGCCTCTTCTCTTTCTTTGTAGCAACCTTTTGATCTCTTCATGGATGATATTCTTGATGACATCTGCAATTCATCTGATCTTTAATCATGGTTTCTAATGCTTCAAACCTACTCTTAAGACGATTTTTAAATTCAGGTAGAATAGATCAAATTTTGGTTCTTGTGGACTTGTTTTAAACGTCTTTAGCCTCAACTTGAACTTACACATTAGTAATTTATGGTCTGTTCCACAGTCAGCACCTGCTGGCCTGGTTTTGACTGAACTTCTCGAATGATTCCTTTCACAGATGTAGTCAATCTGATTCCTATGTAGTCCATCTGGTGAGGTCCATGTGTAAAGTCAACACTGGCATTTAAGAGAATCTTTGGTTATTTTCATACAATGGAATACTATGCTGCATTGAAAAACAAGGAACTCATGAAATATTATACAAAATGGGTGACTCAGGAGGACATTATGCTCAGTCACAAAAGCACAAGTACTGCATAGGGCCACTGTTGTAAAATGGGACTGACATCAGGGTTGGGGGGAGACTAAGAAAGATGGGCTAAATTATGTACACTGCATTGAAATAGATGAGGGAGAGAGCTGTTTGGAGAAATATATGATTAGGTATTATTGTCATGACAAGAGTCCAGAATGAGTCCAGAAGCTGCTTAGTGGAGTGAACTGTGGGGGGAGGGATTATATAATAAGGATAGAATTTTTTTTTAGCCCTTCGAAAAGAGAACTGGGAGGGAGGAGTAGGCATTGAGTAAAGTGTGCAACAATGAATGAATGGAAATGGAAAGTGTCTATAAATTTTCATTAAAAAAAATTTTTTTTTAAAAAAGGGGTTAGTGCTTTTCTATGAAGATGGCACCAAAAGCAAAGGAAGTCCATGCCCCTCCCAAAACTGAAGCCAAAGCAAAGGCATTAAAGGCCAAGAAGGCAGTCGTGAAGGGCAGCTACAGCCACACACACACACACACACAACAAAAAGAAGATCCACATGTTACCCATCTCCTGCAGCTTCACATGCTGAGACTCCAAAGGCAGCCAAAATACCCCACAATGTGTGTCCCCAAGAGAAACAAGCTTGACCACTGGGCCATTATCAAGTTTCCTCTGACCACTTGGTCAGCAATGAAGAAGTCAGAAGATAACAACACACTTGTGTCCATTGTGAATGTCAATGCCAACAAGCACCAAATCAAAGAAACTTATAAGACTGATGCAATCATGATCAACACCTTAATTAGATCTGACAGAGAGAAGGTCTATAGTTTTGACTATGATGCTTTGGATGTTGCCAACAAAACTGAGGTCATCTAAACTCAGTCCAGATGGCTAATCTGAAATATAAATTTTTCTCACAAAAATAATTTAATTCTATTTCCTGTCACCAGTCCATACTTTTTGACAACCATTCCTTCTTAATTGTTTCCAACTTTTGCATTCCAGTCACCAATTATCATGAATACATCTTGATTGCATATTTGCTCAATTTCAGACTGAAAAATGCGGTAAAATATCTCCAATTTCCTCCTCTTTGGCTTTAGCTATTGGTGCATATATTTGAATTGATGGTCATATTAACAGGTCTTCCTTATATTTGTATGGATAATATCCTATCATTCACAACATTGTATTTCAGGATAGAATGTGAAATTGCCTTTTTACCTATGAATGCAACACCATTCTTCTTTTGTTTTTCATTCCTGGTATAGTATAACCACTTGGCCAACTGACTGGAAGAGATCTATATTTGTTCCTATCCCAAACAAAGGTGACCCAACAGAGTGTGGAAACTACAGAACAATCTCACTGATTTCACATGCAAGCAAGATTTTACTGAAGATTATCCAAAAATGACTGGAACAGCACATCAGCAGAGAACTACCAGAAATTCAGGCTGGGTTTAGAAGGGGTTGTGGTACTAGGGATATTGTAGCTGAATCTTAGCTGAAAGCAGAGAATACCGGAGGAATGTCTATCTGTGTTTCATTGACTATGCAAAGGCATTTGACTGTGTGGATCATAACAAACTATGGCTGACTCTGAGAAGAACGGGAATCCCAGAACACTTGATCGTGCTAATGCGAAATCTATACTTGGACCAGGAGGCAGTCGTCAGAACAGAGCAAGGGAACACTGCATGGTTCAAAATTGGGAAGGGCGTACGCCAGGGATGCATCCTATCTCCATACCTTTTCAACTTATATGCAGAACAGATTATCCGGGAGGCGGGGCTCTATGAGGAAAACTGTGGGGTCAAGATTGGTGGACTATTTATCAACAATGCTGAAAATGAAGAGGACCTGAAGCATCTGCTGCAGAGGGTCAAGGACTACAGCCTCCAATATGGATTGAGGCTCAATGTCAAGAAAACAAAGATTCTCACCACTGGACCAATTGGCAGCATCAGGATGGATGGTGAAGAGATTGAGATTGTACACAGCTTCAGTTTGCTTGGCTCCACAGTCAACACTCTTGGCACCAGTAGCCAGGAAATTAAAAGGCACATTGCCATGGGAAAGTCTGCTGTTAGGGACCTCTCCAAAGTGCTGAAGAGCAATGGTGTCTCTCTGGAGACTAAGGTGCGTTTGATACAGGGCATGGTCTTCACAATCACTTGTTATGCATCAGAGAGTTGTACAATGACCAAAGAAGATAGAAGGAGAATTGATGCCTTTGAGCTGTGGTGCTGGAGAAGAGTACTGAGAATACCATGGACTGATAGGAAAACAAACAGATTCGTCCTGGAAAGGGTTAAACCAGATGGCTCCTTGGAGGCAAGGATTCTGAGGCTTTGTCTAACATACTTTGGACATGTTGGGAGGAGAGACCAGACTATCTGGTAGTATTTTCAGATATTTATGTCCATATTAGTAGGACATAGTAGGTTATTTTTTAGGTGTGGGCATTATAAAAATTTTCCCCATATAAATGAATGTTAATTATATGTTAAGTTTATGCTATTTCAATTCATGAAAGGTTTCACAGGAATGCTCTACTTTTGAATAGTGGAGGAAACCTTGTTAAATTAACTGTATACTCATTGAGGTGATGAAAAAGGGAGCATGGGTAGCTAGTCTGCAGCAAGTTTCATTGCTATTCCAAAGGGTACTCCAGTGGTTTGAATTAACTTTTGGTTCTTTAGGAGAAAGACGGGCAGCCTCCTCCCACAGTCATGTATAAGCCTTGGATACTCAATGGAGGGTCACTGTGAGGCAGAACCGGCTCGATGGCAGCGAATGAGTGAGTGAGTAAGTGAGTAATCAAGGGGGAAAAAAGAAAACAAGATTTAAATTGTAATACATGCATTACTTGTTTGAATGATTTGCTTAACTATACAGTTATTTTCCATTTTTTTATTAACACAAAAAGAAATTAAAAACTTTGCTGAAGATCTTAAATGATTACTATAAAATACACAAGCCTAAAATTGGAAGCTTATTTTAAACAAACAATAATGTTGAAAACACTTCCTTCCTTATTTTGCCACAAAGAGTTGGAATTAGACTGTACGCTCTCAGTGCCAAACTATAAACAATGCTGATGCCCAGTGCCTGACACTGGACAAACAGGCTCTTAGCAGCTATTGTAAAAAATGTAACAAATTCTGAAAACATGCACAGATAAGTAAAGTTTGTCTTTAGGAAATCTCTTCCCAAGTGAAAAAAATGATGATCAACCTATCATGATAAATTTATAAAGTGAATAAGTATCATAAAACTGCAAGTACATTTAAAGGCTCTATTAGTAGAGTAAGGAAGTTCTGGTGGTCTAGTAGTAAGAATCTGTGCTGCAATACCAAAGGCATGTGGTTTGAATTCACCAGCTGCTCTTCAGAAGGATGGGCATTCTCCTCCTGTACAATTTACTGCCTCTGAAAACCTGTTGGAGGGTCAACTATGGGTTGGCTCCACCTTGACAGCACCTAACAACAACAACATTAAGAGAGTAAGGGTGCCCTGATGGCTTAGTGGAAAGGTGTTGCACTGCCAACCCAAAGGCACATAGTTAGAATCCAACAGCTCTTGATGGGAGCAAATCAATTCCACTTCAAATTAATTGCAGATGAAAACCAGCTGAGGTCAGCTCTGAGTCAGTTCTGACTCAATGGTATATAACAACAACAACAACAACAACAATAATTTACAGAGTGACCAACTGGGTAAGGAGTTACACTGCCAACTCAAAGGCAGGCAGTTTAAATACACCAGCTAACTCTGCAGGAGAAAGGTGGGCAGTCTCCTCCTGTGTGATTTACAGTCTCTGAAAATCCACTGAGGGGCTCAACCATGAGTTAGTTCCAATTCAACAACAGTGAGTTGAATTTGTTGTTGAATGGGATAAGGAGCTCTGGTGTTCTAATGCACTATGTACTGCATTGCTAACCAAAACAAACAAAAAGGTCAGTGGTTTAAAACTGCTAGCTGCTTCCTTTGAGAAGGATGGATAGTCTTCTCCCATAAAAATTCACTACCTTAGAAACTCAATAGAGAGCTGCTAGGAGTTGGAACTGGCTTGATGGTGGTGAGTTTATTAATGGAGTCAGAGTGGTGTAGGAAACAAGTAGAAATAATTAAGATTTTGCTTTTGTCCCTACTGGTTTTTTTTTAAATTATTTGTTTATTTATTTATTTATTCATTCATTCTTTTTATGTGTGTACCATCACATTGGATCTGACTGGTACAGGAGGCGATTGTTCCTCCTTCTTTAGCAGAGCATCTGGTGGATTTGAACCGCACACCTCTGGGATTGCAGTGCAGTTTCCTACCACTAGGCCACCAGAGCTCGCCCCGGTTTGTTTTTTAAAACAACCAAAGGTTAATCAATTATGTAAATTACTGGGATGGTATGTATATCTTCTTCCTGCAGAAGCAGGCATCTAGTCTATGGTAAACCCAAATCCAGGGTAGGAGATGCATATGGAGTCCAAAGCTCTCATAAATAGAAGCCAGCCCTAGCTAGGCCTTTGCCTCTGATTAATAAGACCAATTATATCTTTTTATTAAAGAGCTTAAATTCGAAGTTTATAATAGATTTCATGGTCAATAATAAGGGAGGCTCTGGTGACCACATGTAAGGAGCTGTGTCTGTGGTTTGAAAAAAGGCACTTGGTTGAAATTCTCCAGCTGCTCTGTAGGAGAAGGATGGCCAATCTCCTCCTATGTGATATACTGTCTCTGACAACCCACTGGGTGGTCAGCTGTGGGCTGGTTCCGACAAAAACAATGACAGTAAGACTGAAGACTTGGTAGTAAAGAGAGTTCCTGAGAAATGTTGCTGAAAGAGAAATATAAGAGCAAAGTTAGTACTATAGTGGAACAGAATAGGGACATCTTCATTGTGAGGGCTTGGTGGGGGCAAAGTGATGACCAATTCACTAGAGCTATGCTAAATTCTGGACAAGTTCCCAAATTTCAAAGTGCTTATTGGGAATTACGACATTTAGCTCTACAGTTACTATATGTTTTTATAAAGCATGGATATATAGTAAATATTGTTAGCTATAATTATTCCACAAAATATGTTCAAGCTTTACACAGGCAGGCAAGGTAAATATTCTCAAATATATTATTTA